CTTCATCAGAAAAGACCCTTTTCTGATGAAGGGTCTAGGCCCGAAACGTCAGCCTTTCTGCTCCTATGATGCTGCTTGGCCTGCTGTGTTCATCCAGCCCTGCACCTTGTTGTCTCAGATTCTCCAGCATCTGCAGTTCCTACTATCTCCAGCATCTGTAGTTCTTGGTATCTTCGACAATGGTGAGATTCTCTTTTGTTAGAGATGGTCATTGCCTGGCATTCGTGTAGCATGAATGTTACTGCCATTTGTCAGGTCAAGCCTGGATATTGTCCAGACCGTAGTTATGACAGTATCACCGGATTCAAAACATTAACTGCTTTCTCCCTGTAGATGCTGCCAGGCCTGCAGAGTTTCACCAGCAATTTGTCTTTTTCTGTTGGGTTTTGTCCAGGTCTTGCTGCATTTGGACATGGACTGCTTCAGTGTCTGAGGAACTTTCAGAGATATTCTATAACTGAGATGACTGATCTCCAACAATCACAAACATTTTCCTCTGCGCCTGGTTTGACTTCAAGCAGCAGAGAGTTTTCTCCACCGATTCCCAATGACTCAAACTTTGCTAGTTGAGTTAGTAATCTGATTATTTCCACATCAATTGTAATTAACAAGCAACTTGACGTAACAAACACAGAAAATATTGAAGAAATTCAGCAGGTCTGGCATCATCTATGGAGAGAGAAACAGAGTTAATACTTCAAGTCCAATATGACTCTTCTTCAGTAACAGGATGGCTTGTTTTTGTAACAGTTGAAAATTTCACATGTTGAAAGTTTCCAATTTTTCAGATAGGAAGGGCCCTCTTGTGGCATCATGGTAGTGACCCTACCCCTGGACTGAGAGGCCCAGGTTCAAATCCCATCTTCTCCAGAGATGTGTAATAACATTTATGAACAGGTTGATTGGAAAAATAGATGATATTGAAACAAAAACAGAATGCATAAATCTATGAAATAAAATGTAGTTTTTGCAACAGAGTAGCTGCTAAAGGTCTTACGAAGAGTTAAATCAGACTCAAAACATTAGCTCCCTATTAGCTATTTCTATCTCCGTCTATCCATTGATGCTGCCCAACCTGCTGAGTTTCTCCAGCATTTTCTGTTCTTATTGCACATCTCCAGCATTTACTGGCATTTTGCGTTTACTGACTAAGCTTTTTGGGTCCGCCGTAGGTGTTGATGGATCCAACAAGATGGAAAAACACACTTAGAAATACAGGAAGAGAGCAGGCCATTCAGCCCATCCAGCCTGTCCTGCCATTCAATATGATCATGGCTGCAGGTGCATCTCAAAGGTTCACAACATTCTTAAGTAATAAAAAAGAATTCTCTTCATCTCTGACATAGTCCTGTGGGATGCAGATTATCAGGCCCAGGGGAAATGTCAGCTTTTAACTGCATTAATTTCTCTAGTGCCTTTTTTTCGATTAATACTGATTTTCTTCAATTCTTCCTTCTCACTAGATCCTTGGTTCTGTAACATTTCCAGAAAGGTAAAACCAAAATGTGTGTTCAGTTTGGCAAGTTCTTTGTTCCCATTGCAATGTCTCCCCATTTCTAACAAAGGGACCTCCATTCATGTTCACTAATCTTTTCCTCTTCACATATTTAAAGAAGGTTTAATAGTCAGTTTTTATGTTCCATGCAAGTATAATTTCTACTCTCTTTTCCCCCTCTTGATTAATCTATTTGTCGTTTTTTGCTGAATTCTGAAATGCTCCCAGTCTTCAGGCTTGTTGATTTTTCTGGCAAATTTATATGCCTCCTCTTTGTATCTAATATTATCCTTAATTTATTTTGTTCGCTTTGGTTGAGCCACCTTTCCATTTTATTTTTGCATCATATACAAATAATTGTTTTAATTAATATATATGTCGCTTAAATATTAGCCATTACCTATCTACTGCTAACTTTTAGCAAGGTTCCCCAATGCATCATGACAAACCCGTGCCTCACAGCCTCGTAGTTCCTTTAATTTAGATTCAGATTTAACTTCTTCACTCTCAATCTTAATGAAATTTTATGGTTGCTCTTCCCCAACAGACCCTGCACAACCAGCATGTTAATTATTTGTTTCACACTGTGCAATATCCAGACTAGAACAGCCTGCACTCTAATTGCTTCCTTAACATGTTATTCTAAAAGAAAACATCATGTCTACACTCCAGGAATTCCTCTGCCACAGTATAAGCCTGATTTATCCAATCAATAGGTAGATTAAAATCACCCACGATTATGGTTGCACCCTTATTATATGTGTCTCTAATCTGTTTAATGTGTTTCCTTATGTCTCTGCTGTTGTTTGGGGACTTAAAGATAGCCCCTATCAATGTTTTCTGAGTCTTGGTCTTTTTTATTCCCACTTATACAGATTCCATGACATGATATTCTAAATCAAATATCCTTCTTCACTACAGTGTTGAGTTACCTTTATTAACAATGTTACCTGCCCTCCTATCCCTATTTTTCTGTCAATATCATAATCATGTATATCTATTTGGTGCTGTTAATTCACCTACCTAGGTGGTAAAGGGCTCAGTCTTGGCGTATATCACTGAAGGAAGCTTGGTTGACTTATAGGGCCAAATTCAAATTTGTATCAAAGTGTTCTGCTGAATCCCCTCCAATATCATTACACTTAGAAAATTCCATTTTCTACACAAATCCCTCAAAAGTGAGAGAAAAGTGCAATGCCTACATAGATCAATCAGTCACAGTGAAATATGCCAACATACTATTTGCCACTCAACTTAGGCATTGGATTCACTGAGAGAAGAGGAAAATCCAGCAGCAACAAGCACTCTGAGCAGAAATAACTCAGCAGACATTAAGCAAAGTTGTCTCAAACCCAGCAGATACATGCAACTCTGTGCTCAGGAAATACCTCGTAGGAATAAAAGTGCATGCTTAATTTTAATGTTTAAAAATAACATTTCTCTTTCACTGCTAAATTGCAGCAAGTAAACTACCACACAGTAAATATTGGTGCTGTTCCCAAGAAAATTACTGTTTGCATGTGCTACAGAAGCTTTGATAAGCTCTGCAATTTACGTCAATGCGATAAGCATGAAGTCTTTGTAGCTGCACACAAATCTCAGTATGCAGACATGATGTTTACTATAAAATATTAGAAGAAAATATACCAAGAAAGGTTCACTGAAAATTTAGTAAGGAATTAATTATATGAACAGTGTATGTCAGACACGTGTTTGTGATATAATGTAGCTGGGTCAGTACAGCACTGCTGATAAGGATGCATATGCATGTGCAACAGTGAATGAACATCAGTGCAGGAGAACAGAATTATAAGTTTGCATGCAATGATACACCATCGGCAAAGAACTAAAGTATAATGCATTCATGTAAGGTCAATGGTTCTACCAGCATTTGTCTATCTGCGTCAGTGGTGTAGTACTGGTTTTAATGTGAATACTCATCTCGTCATCCTGGTAAAATAGGTGCTTATCATGGTAAAGAACTGTGTGAATGAGGCATTTATCCTGGTAGAAGATTTTTAGAGTGAGGGTTATGGTTAGGATTAGGGTTTATCCTGATAAAGGACCATGTGACTGAGGATTAGGGTTAGGATTAGAGTTTATTCTGGTAAAGGGCCATGAGTGCGTTGTTTATCCTGGTAAAGGACTATGTGGGGAAGCTGTATATCCTGGTAAAGGGCTGAGTGAGATGTTTACCTGGTAAAGGGCTATTTAGTTTTTGATAAAGGTATTTAGCTTTGGCTAACTGCGATGTTGGTACATTTCTGTCTTGTGTCGGAGTAGTGCTGCTGGCATGGCACAGCGTGACCCCCAGTGTGCAAAATAGAGGGCTTCAGCGTGAGACACACACGTGCTGCCTGCCTGGGTTACCTGATCCTTGCTGAGTAGAGAAATCGTTCGCTGGAATGAAAAAGGAACTTGTTGTCAATATATCACAAAAATAAGTACAGATAGGGTGGGCATTTGGCTCATCTAGCTCAATCTGCCAATAGAAGCCCCACTGCTGTCATAAAGGTTATAGTTAAAAATTTATAAAATAAGCATTATTTTTATGCATACATGCACTCAAATATAACATTTCTTTAACTGAAGATACTAGAATCTCAAATTTAACAGAAAATCTGACAGCACCATTACATATACTACCAGGCTAAAGCAATAGCCAGGCAGTATGTAGGATAAGAGGGACTGTATTCTGATAATACCCAGCTAGCTATCTCTTTTGAAATGATTCTTCAAGTGGAGGCAAGACACACCAATTTAAGGTCCAGAGAATCTTTACAGATGTTATGATTAAGGGACTGGCATGGGTAAGGTGCAGAGACAATCTTCACTCTGCAACCAAAACACGCAAACCAACTAGGATGAAAGAACATTGGGAAATAATTTATTCTCAGCATTCACGCATATCATCTTAACATGTGAAAATTCTTCAAAAAACATTTAAAAGAGAAAAACCACATGACTTACTGTTCCATCTTCCATGAGTTTGAGACAGGAGCCGAAGTCTGCCAGCCGGATGTGCCCATTTACATCCAGTAGAATGTTGTCTGGTTTGATATCCCTACAAGGCAAGAACAAAAAGTTAGTCTTCAGGTCAAGTATCAAATACAGTAAATTGATACAGTTTCACACAAACAAGATGTGCCTTAGAATCAGTGCATGCATTTCCTGCTGTCTCATCCCAACCTGTCAGCACACAACAAAATTGCAGCTTTTATTATTTTCTGAGTTACATACTTTTTAAGACTATTACAACTCAAGATTACACAGGTAATATGCTGCATGTAGCACATAGGAGGTACAACAGAAATAGGACAGACTAGATGTAACATTATTGATGCACTTTTCATGAAACTCTAACTTAATTCTGCGCAGGGGCCAAGGACGCCATTTCCTGGTGGCCTGAGAGTTTCATTGCACGTGCAGGGCGTGGCAGCCAGATAGACCCGACATGCTCTCTTCCAGTTTCCACTCTACAGCTAAAGGAGTATGTCATCTGGACAAGTGCTTGCCTGGGTGGGTGCTGTGGCACACAAACAACCACCATGGAACCCACTTTGGCACCACAAAGAAGAGCCCTGTCTTAGAACCACTAGCAGACGAGGAGACTGCAGGCAGTGAAAATGATGCTGTTTGTTGGTTCTGGCAGTTAAGACTCAGCGAAGCCCTCGGAAGCTGAGAACGTGATAGAAAATCATTGTCTCTCTGCTTGAGAATGTTAGGGCTCAGAAGAAGCCCTGGGAGGCATATATAACTCAATACAGCCAGAATACTCATGTCCTGTGAAATGCAGGGCATTGCTAGCTTGGTAATATGTACTTGTCTGCATTATGTACTGGATTGTAGCCTAGGTAATCCAATTAAATGCATTCTCAGGAAAGCAAATTGGGCCAATGAGAGGAGAGCTCTCATTGAAGCAGTCTGAGTTTGTGCAGTCTTTGAGGAATTCAGAGACTAGATCTTTGAAAGCATAAACTTGAAATTCCTCGTGAAGGAGAAAGATCCCTCATAAGATTTTGTAACCTGTGATCACTGTCATGCAGGTGGATTGTTGAGAAATTTCATAGGATCTGCTTTGGTTCCATCTGCCGTCTCATGCGTAGTGTGGTATACTCGGTCACGTTTTGCCTGTTTAATTCCTACTTCCTTGTGTCAATTCTGGATGGTTAGTTAGTTATAAGGTAGTGATATTGTAGATTATTTTACTTTTCTGAATTGTTGAGGTAAAAAAAATTATTAAAAAAAACGAAAGAAATGCAGATGCTGTAAATCAGGAACAAAAGCAGAAGTTGCTGGAAAAGTTCAGCAGGTCTGCCAGCATCTGTGAAGGAAAAAACAGACTTAATGTTTCGGGTCCAGTGACCCTTCCTCAGAACTGAGGAACAGTCAGAACTCAGAACAGTTCTGAGGAAGGGGTACCAGACCCAAAATGCTAACTTTGTTTTTTCCTTCACAGATGCTGCCAGACCTGCTGAGCTGTTCCAGCAACTTTGTTTTCGTTCCAAAACAAAATTATTCTTGGTTCAAAGTTTTGGCAAAGATCTGTAGCTTGGGTTGTGGGTGAGGTTGTTGACTTGCTCGCTGAACTGGCTTGTTCTTGTTCAGACGTTTCATCACCACGCTAGGAGACATGATCAGTGGAACCTCCAATGAAGCGGTCACTGCATGGTGATGAAACATCTGAACGAGAACAAGTCAGCTCAGCGAGCAAGTCAACAACCTCATCATCCTTGGTTGTTTAAAACCATGGTATTGTATGGCATTATTCTCTTCATAAGTACCTAGAATTTTAAATTTTGTCCAATTTTAAACAAAAAGTTGAAAAGAACGTCCCGAGCAGGACATAACCAAACTTGGAGATCTGGTCTGGGGCCATAACATAGTGATCGCATCTTTTAGAATGTTGCAGCCACAAAATTGGATGATGCCTGTCTCTAGACAGGACTGATAAGAATTCACTCACCTTACAAAAATAATCAAGACATTTTAACATTCAACAAAGGCATCAAACAGACGTGCAAACAACACTTTGAATAAGGACTTGTTTGCAGGATAAATGTTACAGAAAATAACAATAGCAAGTGAAAGGCTTACCCAGAAAGGAAGTGGGAAATCAGACAAAAGTTCAGGGTGCAATCAACACTGGTTTTAATGGCTGTGTGAGACGATTGCCAGGTAATTTTTAAGAGCTAAATTACTACTTTTGATAAGATTTTACAATACACTGAAAAGTTGTCCAAAAATATCATTTGATAACAATCTATTGAGGCAATGTTTTTTAAAAAAATGCTTAATGAACAAGACGAATGAGAACACTCCATTTTGCCAATCTGATTTCATTCAATAGCCTCAGAAAGGCCGATGTCTTCAGCTTTAAACTTATCTTCCTTGACATTTCCAACCTAATACACAACAATGTGTGTTTACATAGCACCCTATGAGTAGCAAACCTCATTGCTGTTCTCACTGCAAAGGAATATTCCCTCCCTGCTAACAGGTTGTAGAATGTTATTACACAACTGCAGAAAATTCTTTTGGAGAAAGGATAATTAGCCAGATGTTGTGGTCCACATTGGTACCAAAGACGTCGGTAAGAGATGCGGTTGAGGACCCGAAAACAGATTTCAGGGAGCTGGACAGGAAATTTAAGAGCTGGACCCATAAAGTAGTAGTCTGAGGATAACCCCCAGTCTTCAGAGGGACAGTGACAAGCAGCAATTTCAGCAGGACCGTGACAAGATGGCCAAATGGGTAGTCACCTGCCAGATGAACTTCAATACAGAGAAATGTGAGGCAATGTATTTTGGTAGAAGAAACTTGGAAAGATAATACAGGCTCAATAGTTCAACTTTGAGGGGAGTATAGGACTAGAGGGACCTTGGGGTTCAAGTGCATGATTCCCTCAAGATGGCCAGGTAAGTTAAAACAGTTGTTAAGAAGGCTTATAGGATCCTTGGGTTTGTAAATAGAGGTATAAAGTATGAAAACAAGGAAGTGATGCTACACTTCTACAAATCACTGGTCAGATCACATTCGGAGTACAGTTCTGGGCACCTTACGTAAGGTTGTTAAAGCCCTGGAGAGTGATGAATTTAGCCGGCTATGGAGGTAGGGCTGGAGAATGGAACTAGCTGGGTAGCTCTTTTGAGAGCTGGTCAATCAGCCTCCTCTGCACTGTAAAATGCTCTGATGCTATGATTCAGTCCCACATACTAGTATTCACAGAATTAGGAGAACTGAGTGATTGAACATATGCTCAGAAGGCTGGTGTAGGAGGGCAATATCTGAGGCAGGTGGGACCTGTAAAAATTGGACAGTCTAGACCTGAACAAGCCAATAACCTTGCAGGGAGATTTGTTAATGCTGCTGGGGAGATTTTAAACTAGACTGGCAAGGAATGGGAACCTGAGGACAAATTCAGATCAGGAAACCGGAGATAGAAACTTAACAAATACGCTTGAAAGACAGATGAGGCAGAGGTTAAAAAGTGTACAGCATGGGAATTTAGCAGTATTAAAATCTATGTATGCTAACACAAGGGGATACAAGAAATAAAACTGACAGCAGAAAGAGAAATATGGCAGCAGAAAATCATTGGCATAATGGAAACTTGGCTTCAAGAGGGGAAAAAATGGCAGCTCATCATTCCTTGACTCAGTTTTCAGCCAAGACACAAAAGGGGGAAAAAGTGGGGGCTGCATAATCAGTTAGCAAAGCTGTTACAGCTATGAGGAGTGATGATAAGCTAAATGAAGCATCAAAAGCAGCCATACAAGTTGAGCTTACAACAAAATAGGGGGGATCAACCACACTGCTAGCTGTGTGCTGTAGACCTCGAAATCATGACAGAGAGATGGAGGAGCAAACATGTCAGTAAATTTCTGACTGCAGAAACAATCACGCAATAATAGTTGGGGACTACCCAAATATCAACTGAAACACAACAACAAGAAAGGCGCAAAATCCCTGAGCTGCATTCAAGATACCAATTTTAGCCAGCACATAACAAGCTCAAAGAAAGGGGGTGCAATTCTGGAGGTGGAAACCTCTGGAGGAAGTAACAACAAGAATTGACGGTAGTGCAATGGATGTTGTTGACACGGATTATAGTAAGGTAATTGACAGGGTCCCACATGGCAGATTTATCAGAAAAATTAAAGCTCAAAGGACAGAGGAAAATATGGTGTGTTGGATCCAAAATTGGCTCAGTGCCAGGAAACAAAGGGTAATGTTTAATGGATGTTTTATGGATAGCAAGTGGCTTCCAGTGGTGTTCCACAAGGGTAAATGTTATGTCTCTTGCTGTCTGTGGTATATAGAGTCATAGAGTCATACAGCACGGAAACAGACCCTTCAGTCCAACTTGTCCATGCTGGCCAAGTTTCCCAAACTAAACTAGTCCCACTTACCTGTGTTTGGCCCATATCCCTTTAAACCTTTCCGAATCACGTACTCTCCCAAATGTCTTTTAAATATTGTAACTCACCTGCATCTACCATTTCGTCTGGAGTTCATTCCACATATGATTCACCCTCTGTGTAAAAAAGTTGCCCTTCAGGTTCCTTTTAAATCTTTCTCCTCTCACCATAAAAATGTCCCTAAAATACCTTTGCTATTCACCTTATCTATGCCCCTCATGATTTTATGAACCACTATAAGATCACCCCTCCGCGCTCCAGTTAAAAAAAAAGTCCCAGCTTATCTACCTCCTCCCTATATCTCAAACCCTGCAGTCCCAGCAACATCCTAGTAAATCTTTTCTGAACCCTCTCCAATTTAATAATATCCTTCCAATAGCAGGGTGACCAGATCTGCACACAGTACTCCAAAAGAGGCCTCATCAACATCCTGTACAAACTCAACATGACATCCCAACCCCTATACTCGATGGTCTGAGCAATGAAGGCAAATGCTAAACACCTTCTTAACCAATCTGTCTACCTATGACGCAACTTTCAATATATTAATGCTTTAGGTTTAAATGTGGGAAGCAATATTAGGAAGTTTACAAATTACAGAAAAACTGGCTGGGTTTTTGATAGTGAAGAAGATGGCTGTTGG